TGGTGGAAGCGAATGGTTGCGATGGACAGAATAAGCACACAATAGTAATAGACCGCACAACGGCAAACCAAGACCCTATGGTTGGTACATCATTTTTCCTCTCAGTCTTTAACAAGCGACCGTTTTCAACCAATGGGATCGTTCCATTTTCCGTATGACTTCTAAATCTATCGCTTTGTTTATCGATTTCAATAATTAGCACGTTGCCCAGGCCTTATTTTTTGGGGGTAACCACTATCTAACGGTCCACCTTGAATTTATACATGAATTTCCTTCCCTCATTTCAAATTATTAAGAGAAAACTGTAGGTAGACAATTTGCTTGGTTTTTTTTTTTTTTTTTTTTGCAAAAATATAAACCACACTTGGTGGACTTTAAATATCGAAGAAAAGATACGGATTTTTTTACTTCTACTGTCCTCATAAAGAAGATTTATCAGGTGATTTTGCTAATATCCACTGTCAAAAACCCCTGAAGTCATACTGAAATACAGAGTGAGGTCAAAATTAGCCCGCATAGGCCTTGTCTCCACGGGACGTTTCATAGGATCTGTCCCAGGGAAAAATCTCACTTGCGAAGTTGGGAAAAATATTGAGTTAGTCAATACTAATCACAGTACCAACTAAAAGTCCTTGTAAAGTCCCAGGAACGACTTAAAAAGAAGAATAAGAAATTTTAGTGTGTTGTTTAATGGGAAAAGCCTAGAAGTTTCATTCCTGCGACTCGAACTTGCATCGCTTGCACCGCTTGCATCTAGGGTCCAGACTCTTGAAAACATTGACAAGAAAAATACTCTTGATTCAATCGGATTTTTGCTTGAATCAAAACGAAATCCGCTTGAATTAAGAGGCTTGGTTCTTGATTTAAGCTAGATTCTGATTGAATCAAGAGTACTTTTTCTTGTCGATGTTTTTAAGAGTCTGGACTCTGGATCCAATGTGTTTTTTCCAGTGATTCCTGCGACTCGAACTTGGGAAAAATCTCGTGAAACGTCCCATGAAGACAAGGCCTTACTGACACCCCTAATCTGAAATTTTGTCGATGAAACCTTCGACATTTCTGTCAAGTCCAAGTGGTTCAGGTCAAAACGTGCTTTTTATTTTCTTTTAATTGCGTTGAATAATGCTTGAACGCTCTCGTAATAATGATTAGGAAAGGGAACTTCAACACAAATCTAGCAACTCTGACCTCATTTTTCATTTTACGAGGCGGCGGCGGGCGGCCTCCGATTTTCCGGGGAAAGAATGGAGCCGGAAAGGTCTTTAAAGCCACATCTGAGCTGCATGGTGTGATGCATAACTAATAGCTCCCTCCTCCCATCCCCTGCCCGCGGATAAATCCCTTCGCCGAGGGTAGACCTTCTTATGCTCGACCTCCTGGCTGCATTTTCCCACAGATATTATGCCAGCATGTCGAGGAGAGAGGGGAGGCACTTAATAAAAATTAAGCCGCGGTCGAACTCGGCAGCTGTTCCGCACAAACTGCTCTCGACTTATTATTAGTTAGGATACAGTTCTGCCCTGCTAAGGGAAAACGTCGTATGAGCCTTCAGACGTTGCCACATTTCCTTCGATGAAAACTGAATTCACTGAGAAAATTCTGAATATTTTTCTTGAAGTTTTTCAGACAATTTCGTCCGCAATTTAATCTATATCTGAAAATTTCAAGGATAAATATATGTACACAAAACGTTCTTAAAACATGATTTTTTTATCGGAGGAATTTGGCAACGTCTCAAGGCTGATACGACGTTTTTTCTTAGCACAGCAGAGTTGGAGGATGAAATCGGGGCCGGAGAGACCGGACCCTGCGCTGACGGATCCTTCGAACAGGAGTGACGCAGAAAATGTGCCTCAGCGTATCATTGCATAGCGTGGGTAAAATGAAGTAAAAAAAAGTCCTGATATATTAAATTGGGACTTTTAAGAGAGATACCTTGAAATTCGAAGAAATTGAAAATTTGAAAAAAATGAAAATTTCAACATATTGAAAATTGGAAAAAATTGGAAACTTGGAAAAATTGGAAACTTGGAAAAATTGGAAATTTGAAAAACTTGGTCGTTTGAAATAATTAGAAATTTGAAGAAAGTTGACTTATAAACAGTTACTGAGGTAAATGTGACTTTGTTTTGCAATCGGGAACTACGACTTCTCGCTGATCCGTAAAAACATTTAGCTGCACAGGAAACCTAATGATACATACGTTGTTTCTAAATTGAGCCAAAAATTGTCATTCCGAATTGCAAAATTTGGTCCAATTACGCGTCTTCATTATTTTAGAGTCATTTTCGAATCATTTATAAAAAAAGTCATAGAGTTTTATCATAAAGTAGTTAGTGCTTGCAATGTGCAAAAGAATAATCATCGAATATTTTTTGTGCACATTTCAAACGTCTTTAAAAATTATGAGGAGGGAGGGTCGAAACCATTTGTGAAATATTCTTATTTCTTATTTTTCAAACAAATTATCAAAACGAATTTTGTAAAATTTGACAAAGGTCGATCAGATTTAAACATGTCTAAAAGTTATTCTTTACAATTGCTTAAAAACATCCATTGACTATTCCCTAAAAAATAGTTCATGAATCATTTAAATAAAACTTACTTATTGTGAACTTGTTGATAAAGCAGACTTGTTTTCCGGTGTGTTAGCTAATAAGACTCCTTCCGTTGAACTGCGTCCAAATATAAGACAGAGCAAATTGAGCGCACGTAACTTAATTTGTTGGCGCGTAGAACTTTTCCATGCAGAGGGACTCCCATCGCTTGACATTATCTCAGTGAGAATTTCATTTCATTACGCGAGGGAAACCTTGCCACCCGATCCTACTATCATCGTGAGGAAAACGGACTCCTAGCATTTTCCGTCGGTAAACAACAATATCGACTTTCTCAATTTTGCTTCCTCTAAGCTCCTTCGCGGTTGACCCGTTTTCACACTTATTCGTTGGACTAGGTTCGTCCTTCGAGCAATTCTCAAAAGATCTCTATCGCGCATTGTTTCCCTTCCTGTTCGCAAAGTCGTGGTCTGAAACAGATTAGCTGCGGCGCACGGTGGATCGCGTCAATATGAGATGTCGGACAAACATTTAAACTTCACTGAAAAAAAATTCTCGGCGTTTTTACCAAGGTCCGTTTGTACCTTTACCATCTCACTTTTTTACCAACTATTGGTAATTTTACCAAGACAGACTGGTAAGCTTACCTAAAAAACGGGATTTTTACCGTTTTTTTCGGTACGAATACCACTTTTATTGGTAATCGATTCCCGGTAACTTTGCCATTTTATCTCGGTAATTCTACCACAGTCGATAAAAAATATTGGCGTTTTTACCAAGGTTCAGTAAAATTACCGAGAAAGTTCAATAATTTTACCGAGATTTCTCGGTAAAATTACCAATTCCATAAATGGTGATTTTCCCAAGAAAAAACTGAGATCAAATAGAACCCTGAATTCTTGGTAATTTTACCCTTTCCTTAGTAAATACACCGAGATTTTTTTTCAGTGTATGAGATGTCGGACAAACATTTGAACTTTGAACGCTTATCACTCCGTTTATACAAAACTATGAGGTTCTGAAAGTGGCTCCACTGGTTTCCTCGTGAATTTTTCTTCTAGGCACCCCTTAAAGTTTATAAGTGACGAGATAAATATAAAAATTAGCAGTTTTAGTCAAAAATTGCACGTCCGACCTCTCTAATTGACTCGAACCACAGTGCGGCGATGAGGTTACTTGATCTCTGTCTTTGGATATAGAGGGCATTGTTTGAGCTTCACTGAAACCAATTTTCCAAAGTTTTCCCGGTATGTTATGTCAGTTGTACCCCGTCAAAAAGTAGGTCGTTTTCGAATCGCAAGAATGTGAACATTCGAGTATTGCGTAACTCACTTCACAGTAAATTGCCTTGAAATGAAAGAAACTAACGAACGATCGGGAATTTCCTGTAAATATTTCACGAAATTTTACGAGGCTGCGCAAATTTTAAAGGCCGCTTTGCGGCTGAACCAACTGAAACCAATTTCCCAAAGTTTTCCCGGTATGTTATGTTAGTTGTGCCCCGTCAAAAAGTAGGTCGTTTTCGAATCGCAAGAATGGGAACATTCGCGTATTGCGCAACTGACTTCACAGTAAATTGCCTTGAAATGAAAGAAAGTAACGAACGATCGGGAATTTCCTGTAAATATTTTACGAAATTTTACGAGGCTGTGCAAATTGTGAGGGCAGCTTTGCGGCCAGCGAGATTTCAAACTGAAAAAACCGTAGTATTGTGAAGAATTTTTTTTAAAAAAAAAGTACCCTCAATTAACCAGTTGCGAGGCGTGAATGATCGATTATCGATTTTTCCCCATTTGAAGATATGGTAAAGAATTGATTATTAAGGCGTTCGCTGCGAACACCCTGTTAATCGATCCTTTTCTGTAAGTTTACATGGCAGATCAATCGATTTATTGCAAATCACGCCACGCCACTGCAATCAACCTGCCCACTTATAGACGGGACTCCACTTGCGGAAATTTCCCACTTACGGACTTTAAACTCCCCTTCCTCATCCCAGCACATCGAGCGCGTCTTAAAAATGATTTTATTATAATAGAGAAGATATCTACGAGTTTGTACTCTTTGTTCTCGTGTGTGTTAAACAGNGGGGGGGGGGGGTGATGAACAGACTAGTGCCTCCAAATATACGTCAGAGGATCACGGATCGAAGATGAACTGCTGATCACTCATCGGCGGTGTAGCCAGAAAGTTTTATTAAAGGGGGAAGGGGGCATCTGGTCGGAATGTCTCATGGAGGCTCATGTACGTAAAAAAATTCCTGTAAATCACAAAAAAGGCATTTTTCAGGGGAAATTTCCCGTTATGGGTGGGGAGAGAAATAAGACCTTCTGGACCCCCCCCCCCCCCTCTGATTACGCCATTGATGCTGATCAACTACTAAATAAATGTGAACATGCTTGAAAATGTTTTGATGGTTGGATTGTGTAATATTATACTCACCAACATGAGATTCTGAAGATCGACGACAAAATATCTAGTTTGATGAGCATTGGCTGCTGCTAAACTTAACAAATAATCATTCCTCGCTCCGGCAGATTTCTCCTCCAGAGCATCTCTTCTCGAGGAAACCTGCGCAAAAAGCCAGATACAAAGATAAGATTTATGTGCAAATTACACGATGTGAGCTCGATCAAATTCATCATATCGGTGGCTAAAGTGAAAAAAATGCGTTTTTGAATTGCTATGTTTCAAAATCTCCGACTACGTTCTTTCGGTTTCATTGCGTAACTCCGATGTATTGTGAATTTAATGTATTTTTATAGATTGTATTTTTTAAAAGTATCTCTGTAAATTCCTGAAATTCAAAACTAATATCGATGTCCGATATTAATATACAAAATTTGATCATGAAATAATTCCGAAAATCTAACCCCAAAACAAGTAGTGAGTGAAAGAGATGAGTCGGGAAGGAAAACTGTTTGCGATATTCGCTCAAACTAGACTTTGGACATCATTTCAGACTAATTCCTGATCAACTTTTCTTTACTAGTATCTGAGTAGTATGAAGTAATTTCCCTTTATGGAGGGAGTTTAAAATAAAGTCAAGAATGGCTCATTTTTATCATTGCTAAAGATCAACTAAAATTTCGATCTATTAGCATGTTGGCAATTTGTTTTTTTTTTTTGTAAAAAATTTGCCAGGTTCTTCAAGCAATACGAGAGGAAAAAAGGGTGGGAACCTTCCATGCCCGATTTCGGTTCATGGTTGCTCCCCTGGGGCGAGGTCTACACAGTGTTATCTCTGCAAATGTATTCAATTTATCATCGCGTGCAAAAGTTTACCTTTCACAGTATTCAACGGCTTCTAAAAGTTGCGCTTTTTTAATGCCCTTTCAACTCGTGTCTCCGACTCTCTAAAAACAGAACTCCGACCGCAATTAGACATTGTATTCACAGAAAAACCTAAGCGCCTGAATCTCAGTCCATGTCCCGTATATCCATCACCACTTCCAAGCTCCATGGCGCTTAAGTCTTTTCGTGCATAAACAGTGCGATTCACGCTGTGCCTCGATAAAATTCCGAGAGTCGGCTCCCGCGGTTTTCAGAGCGAACCTATCACATGCAGCACGACCGGCATGTCGTGGCTCCTCTGACGTAAGGGCGTATCTCTTATTCCACATGAGCCCCGGAGAGCAAAGAGTTATACGGAGAACAGAGCTCACGTGGAAATTGCGATACGCCCTAACGCCAGAGGAGCGACGATGTAGGATGCGAGGAGAGAAAAACATGACGTCTGTACTCACTTTGGCGCTATTTTTCTGGAGTGATGTGATAGATTGGAAAAAGGAGCCTTTTTTCTTTTTCAGCCTGAAACAGAGAGATAAATACAAATTAGTGGAAGCGGGAAGCGGATCGCTTCGTAGCGGACATGAAACGACGGGAGTGGAATTCGTCGCTGCCGATTGCTACNGGGGGGGGGGGGGGGTTAGGATTGCCGTTTCGCTCGCATTTTCAATTCACCGCACAGTGGATCGAGTCAATGGAGATGTTGCATGTGTGAGGAATTTGCGATTTGACCGTTCATTCTTATGTAAAAGTTCGCGAGAGACACGATGGTGCCACTGGTTTTCTCTGAAATCAACTCCCAAGCTCAAAATAAGCTCTCCAGTTGAGGCCAAAATGGAGGGGATATCCCACGCTATCCTGAGAGTCCACCTCTACATCAAGACAGACTCTCCATGCAAAGATAGGGAGCAAATACAGTAGCAGGGTTGCCACTTTATTTGGGGACTCCAAAACTGAAATCACGGCAACCCTGTCAATGTATTTGCTCCCTATCTTTGCATGGAGAGTTTGTTTTGATGTAGAGGTGGACTCTCAGGGTAGCGTGGGATATCCCCTCCATTTTGGCCTCAACTTGAGAGCTTTTTTTGAGCTTGGGAATTGATTGCAGAGAAAACCAGTGGCACCATCGTGTTTCTTGCAAATTTTTATATAAGAATCAATGGTCAAATCGCAAATCCCTCACGCATGCAACATCTCTATTAAAGAGGTCGTACATTAAATTTTTGACTAAATTTGTAAATTTTGATTCACGAGAAAACCAATGGAGCCACTTTCAGAACCTCAAAGTTTTTTATAAACGGAGATGTAGGCGTTTAAAGTTTCCAGATTTTGTCCGACCTTGACTATTGACTCGATCCACTGTGTGCCGTGCTAAGAGAAAACGTCGCAAAGTGGATCGAGTCAATTAGAGAAGACGGATATGAAGTTTTTAACTAAAACTGCAAATTTGGATGTTTATTCCGTCACATTTTTCCTTTCAAGGGGTGCTAGCAGTAGAAAAAATCACGAGGAAACCAATGAGCCCACTTTTAGAACCTCAAAGTTTTGTATAAACGTAGTTATAAGAGTGGTTTCACGATAACCGGAATAGTTTTGTTGCCATAACAGACAACAAATATTTCGATCATATTTTTAGTAGTAATGCTAATCACTAGAATTTTTTTGCATTAGTCTACACGGAATTACGTGTTATAACGCTTTTCAAAGATTTACTGCTCTACTTTTCAATTTTAATATAAAAATGGCCGGAAATGTGATGTCTGTTACGCTGACTTTTTACCGCGTAACAGGCAGCACATTTTCGGAATTTACATAATAAATTGAGAGGTAGAGCAATAAATCATTAGAAATCGTTATAATACGCAACCCTTTGAAGATTAATGCGAGAAAAATTCGAGTGATTCTCATTTCTAATAAAAATATGACCGAAAAATATGTTGTCTGTTACGGCGACAAAACTATTCCAGCGGGCCGATTATTGAAATTTAAACCAGCCCGATAAGACATCGAATTGCGATATATTGCATGGTTAGGATAGGGCTATGTCTTGTCGTGTCGGGCTGACATAGTTTCAATAATCGGGCCGCAGTTATCGTGAAACCTTCCATAAGCGTTTAAAGTTAGCAAATGTTGTCCGACCTCTCCTACTGACTCGATCCACTGTGCGTTGTGTGAATATATAGCAGTTGTCAAATTTTTCTCAAAATGTCTCAATTTTTCAACAACAAAATTTTCAACAAATTTTCGTTGATGAAGGTCCACTCGACATAGTTTTATGAGGAAATTGGTGACAATTTGCAAATGAAGAGGACGGATGTTTTCAATTTGGACGTATTTTTGCCAAACGGAACTATGTGCATTAAGTCATAAGCCCGGAGACCCATAAGAATGTATGCATGACAGGGCTCATGTCATGATGCACATAGTTCCGTTTGGCAGAGATACTTCAATTTGAAAGTGCACGTGTACTCGGCATGTAAAAAACGCGAACAATGGAATCAACTTCCCGTAATCGGATGCATTTTAGCCGAGTGCATGATGAGTTAATACGCGTTTGTTTTCCTCGAGAGATAACATTATAGTAGCATGAATTTTAGCGGCATACATAACCTTAAATTCCCCATGAGCCCCAGAAAGCATAGATTTATATGTAAAAGAGGGCTCACGTGGAGTTCGAGATACGCCCTTACGTCAGAGGAGCGACGATACTAATGCAACGGATGAGTCCAGAAAGTTCTAGTTCGAAACATCCGGAAATTTTTCGCCTTGGATTTTGTTGCAATGCGACCGACCGACCAACCACGGAGAAAAGGGTTCATGTAAATGTGACAAAATATGTAAAATAGGGGCCATTGAAGGATCCTACATATCAGCAACATTGTATTTTCTCTACATAAACCTATGGAAACGTATCGATTCTCAGAGAGGCCAAGTGCTCCGACAAGAATCGATTATTCAGCATAGGTTTCAATGGAGGAAATCCAGTGTTGCCAAATTACTGGATCAGCCTCTGATTGGGGCCCGGAAAGCTTATTGTGATGATTCACCCTATAGGGATGTAAATTTCCAGAGACCCTCTACTTTTTTAAAAGGGGTATCTTCCTTTTCTTCCTCTTAAAACTTGCAGCACTGGAATAAAAAAAACACATTGGATTTAGAGTCCACACTCTTAAAAACATTGACAAGAAAAAGTACTCTTGATTCAATCAGAAACTAAATCAAGAACCAAGCCTCTTAATTTAAGTGGATTTCGTTTTGATTCAAGCAAAAATCCGATTGAGTCAAGAGTATTTTTTCTTGTCGATGTTTTCAAGAGTCTGGACTCAAGATCCAATGTGTTTTTTTTTCCAGAGAGATGGTCTACTAAAATTTAACTTTTGATTCTTCTGTTACATGACGTATAAAATTGTATATGGACGTATTTCTGTCCGAAGTTTAATGCTTTTTAAGAGAAAACTGGCAGACAGTTTTTCTTAAATTTTTCTGCGATTGTTTTTCGCTCATTCAAACATATCCGTGGAAAATTCCTAGAGGATATTTTGGTTAGTTTCCTCTTTGAAAAATAGAACGAGGTCGGAAATTTTGAAAAATCACAAAACAGATACGCATTGTTCGACTTCATCCATCGATATACCCTAAAGGTGCACTGCAAAAAAATTCTCGGCGTTTTTACCAAGGTCCGTTGGTACCTTTACCATCTCACTTTTTTACCAATTATTGGTAATTTTACCAAGACAGACTGGTAAGCTTACCTAAAAACCGGTATTTTTACTGGTTTTTTTTCAGGTAAGAATACCACTTTTATTGGTAATCGATTCCCGGTAACTTTGCCATTTTATCTCGGTAATTCTACCACAGTCGATAAAAAATATTGGCGTTTTTACCAAGGTCCAGTGAAATTACCGAGAAAGTTCAATAATTTTTCCGAGAACCAAATCCATAAATAGTAATTTTACCAAGAAAAAACTGGGATCAAAAAGAACCCTGAATTCTTGGTAATTTTACCCTTTTCTTAGTAAATACACCGAGATTTTTTTTTTTCAGTGTGGGCTTCAAATCAAAAAGCGTTCATTACTGGCTGAGCGCTTCCAGAAAAGTTCACGGTTCATGCTGAAATCCAACCACGGTTCAACTCAAAAGTCGACCGTTGTGAGCTCAAAGCAGCGAACAATAAAACACGTTCGCTTCAGTTGCGAGCCGACCCAGCGATTAAAAGACTGTCAGTGAAGTGACGAATTGATCGGAACGGATCGGTGGCGTGGCGTGAATTGCGATACATCGATTGTTATGCCATTTAAGCCTATGGAAAAGGATCAATAAACAGGGTGTTCGCAGCGAACGCCTTAATAATCGATTCTTTACCATAGGTTTAAATGGCAAATCAATTGATATATCGCAAAGCACGCCACGCCACTGGAACGGATACCACCATTTGGAAAAAATACGAGCGCAGAAAAACAATACTCGGACGGTGTTAATGACAGCTCTCCGAGTCGCGGCAACGATGCCCGTTACCTGTTCACTTTTTCCATCGAGTATTCAATTTTTTCTCGACTTGAATTGATTGATTACAACGAAGCTCCTACCCCCTCCTTCCATCCCTCCCGCGGACTTTCCCTTTCATTTAACCCCCTCTTCCTTATGTTCTTACCCTCCAGCGCGACATCCAACGCTTTCTCCATAGCAACAGGAGTAGGGCAACACACAATGAGGTGCCTAAACGGATTTCCTGGACGGGGTGGGCCTTTGGCAAATTTCAGCTGGAGAATTCGGTTGGATTCCACGTTCATCATTTTTTGTATCATTTTAAACGACAATAAACCATACAGCGTATACACACGTTTCAAAATCATGCGCTGACTCCGAGGGTTTGAATATTATAGTCGAGCCAAACAAAGCGTGGCGCAATATAGTGCGGCTAGCGCACGGAACGCGTATTAGCGCCTACAAGACTGCAGAGATACTTCACGCATTGCGCGTACACTACAGTGCATTGCGCGCGCGCGATAGGCCTGTTGCAATCTTTAGCTAGAGCAATGATGAGAATTGTTTCTACAGGAAAATTACTCAAAAATCACGCAGTGTGCATTAGGAAATTCTGAAATACACTCCTAACTTTATAATTTGCGTATGGTTTATGCATTTTTTAAGCTTCCAGCTTCAAAATCGTTACTACGGCACAGGTTAACATTTTTAAAGAGGATTCGTTCCATCCAACCCTTGCGCAGTAGGATGCTACACAATATTCAGCACGGCTGACGCTACCGCCGCAAATCGTGAGGAAGCACCATGGTTTTTATCAACGCAAGGAAAATGTAAATATAACCACGCCGGTTAGTAAAATCCCATCTCGTCTCGTATGTTTTGGCGGTTTGGCGTCGGCCATGTTGAATATTGCGTAGCCGTAGCACCCTAGCACGCGAGGGTTAAATGGAACGACTCCTCAAACAAAACGTAGCGCAATATAGTGCGGCTAGCGCACGGAATGCGTATTAGCGCCTACAAGACTGCAGAGATACTTC